CAAGTGGCTTAAAAAGAAGAACATTTTGTCAACATGGTGGAAATATGTTATTTCTAAACATATTCTTTGAAGTTTAAAGAATAAAACTTATGGTTACTACGTTAAGGCCAGCAGTACCCCACTGTTTATTGAAAAATACTTACTCAGCCACATATGTATATAGTTACACTTTACATGTTACACTTAAAGGAGCTTCTCAGCCGTGGAAAACTCTACCATGAAGCTCCTGGTGCACGGTTTTTGTGCTGATGTCGATGCCAGAGGATGTTTTGAGTGCTGCACTTTTCACTCTATAATTTTATGTGGTCTGCCAATTTTTTGACTGAGTTGCTGTCGCTCCTAAACTCTTAATCTTTGCAATAATACCACACTAATAATAATGTAGAATATCTTGGAAGGAAGTAATTTCAGAAAGTGAAATTACTGATGTGTTGCAACAGTGGGGCTCTGGCTATCACAGCACCCCAATCAAATTCAGTGAGCTCTTTAGAACGACCCATTTTTTGACACACGTCTGTAAAGGCAGGTTGATTCTGCCTGTGACAGTGGAAGTGAAAACACCTGAACTCAAAGGTGTGGCCGACGTTTTTATTCATAGTAGTGCATGTTAATCATTATGCACTGCTGTGTATACCACCTCCATTTCCACAAATCAAATCTTTTGTATTTAACAGAGCCTGGAACCAGAGCCTGTTTAAAGGGAGAATATCTTTAACTCATCATTAAAGATATTGGTATGAACAAAAAGACTGTATAACATTGATGGTCACACACCTTTTTGCTTCTTGATGCTTTGCCTGTTAAGCATTGTGGCTGTTAGTAGGGATATTCCTGGGTGACTAATTTCTTCAAAGACTAAACAAAGGGGAAAAAAATAAACTAACCAACTTGTCTAAAATTTAGAAAGATGCTGCTATCAACTTAAACTGGAGAACTGTTTACTGGAAAATGTCAAAAACTCTCTAAATAAAGGCATTTGAAACAATTAATTGCATTCTTCAATAATGATTCATGCTGCTTAACCTGGCGTTGTACGATATAAATACAGCCCTACTTCGAGCCCTTCCTGGTAGATTGAACACCTCACCCTATCACTAACAGAGCGTAAGCTCATCCTTTCGCCTTTTAAAGAACTAACAGTTACAGTGTTAACAAACAGAAAAGGTGTAAATTTACAGATTTATGGTATTTCTCAACATTGATGCGCCATCTGGTGGCCGGTGGATGCATAGCATTTAGAACACAACAATTTAACTGCACTGGGCATCAATTAAAAAGTAAAATGGTTAGTTTAAACATCTAGTGTGTTTGGTACCGACTAGTGACAATAGCAAAGATTGGTCAACTAGTCCACTAGTGTTCTTTGTTAAATAATTGCTTTCAAAAAGCTTCGAGAGTTCCCCTTTAAATGACTTGAATGATCTGAGATGATGAGCAAACAGCTGGTAGCTTCAATGTTGACACAGGATAAGGTCACCCAGTCTTGTCTCCTTGATCTTTCAAATACTGCGAAAATCAAACCTTTACTGTCATTCAACCATCTTTTAGTACACACTTTGATTTTCTCCCACTTCGATCATTACAATTCACTCTTCCCGTGCATCTCTCAGTCCTCCAAAGCTTGTCACCAATTGGTGCATAGCACAGCAGCAAGGCTGCTAACAAAATCTAGCTGGCGGTCACATATTATATCTATCCTTGCATCCTTTCACTGACTTCCGTTGAAATTTAGAATCCAATTTTAAAAATATATTGGACAGGCCCCTGCTTACATAGCAGAGCTTTTGGGAATTTTATCATTTCCTTGAAGAACAATAGCCTGTTACATATCGTAGTAGTAGTACATGGATATTTCTGTTGTTTGTCTAACAGTCGTAGTAGTTACACCTGCATTACATATTGTATGGATTAAATCAATTGGATTACAGATGTGTAGTTAGGTTTAAAGGAGTTATTATTGTTATTATTATTATTATTATTATTATTATTATTATTATTATTATTATTATTATTATTATTATTATTATATATCCCAATGTGTTAAACTTTTTTTTTTAATTTTATAGGCTGATGCCTGTTGCTTCATTCCTGTGTTATAGTGAAGCCATCATTGAAATGTGTGGAATTAAAAGCCGTTGACAAGCTGCGTGCGTCAGAAATTCAGGCGACAGCATTTTATTGTAGAACAGCTCCTTGTTGCTACTGTTTTATGTGGGAGCACTGAGTGTGGCAATTTTCTCTGCACAATGGAGAGAGAGAGAGCTCAACTAATATGATGAGTTAACACCAGTGGGGTGTTAAAGTTGATGCATTTACTCAGCATGCTCAGTGAATATAAGCTTTGGACCTGTTGAGCCTGTGCAAAGCTTTCTGGCAAATCTTCAGTACATGGCAGCCTCGCTCTTCTCCTTCCTATTGTGGGTTGGTACTCTTATCTCACCATGTGCCCCCACCCCACCATGCTTCCTTCGTGTCCCTTTGGTGATGTCCTGCCAGCTTCATATGGCTGCATTTCCTAATACCTGCCTCAGATGTGAGGCTCTGACCTTTCCAAAAGTGTCTGTGGGGCTTTTATCGTGAACAGACACCTTCAGTGTTACTAAGCCAGCCCTCAGCTTTTCAATGCACCCTCTTGATTTAGCCAGCTTCAATGGGTAATTAAAATAAAAAAGGACCTAGTTTTCCACTGTATCCCCCACCAGGGTTTTGTGTGACAAGTGAAGGATTTTCTGTTTCTTTAGCCAACTTCAGACGGGATTCCTCCAGGGAAGGCAGCGCTAGCTCAGTGTCACTCAGCATCTATTTTGCTCCCCTCCTCTCTTCCCTGCCTGTGACAGGACTGATGCTATGCATTCCCGACACGTCTGGCCAAAGCCCTGACTGTAACCAGTAGCACAGACACAGAAAGAGAGGGCATGTGACACTTATTGCCCACACCAAATTCAGACTTGCAAAATAAAGAAGCCACTTGGAATTTTTTAGTATGTTTTGGAAATTCAGGTGACAGTGTTAATGCTAGTCATGGAGTTGGCTCTATAGGAACTTCTGATGGCTATATTAATATTATTAAGGGTGATTTTCCCCATAGCAGGTGTACGACCTTTGTTGTATGATTTAGTCATGTGTATCCAATCCAAACTCAAGCTGTGACTGTTTTGCTGGAAAAGGTTAAAGAACTTTTTCGCTCAGAGGCACAACGTTGCCTCAGCTCAAGACTCGATTTCCCAAGCCTCAATTCTGTCTCCAAACTCCAGCCTTTAAACCCCCTGCCATAGCCGGTCACACAGCCTCGCCTCCAAGCTTAATGCCTTCTGTTTCCACTTGTTTTCCTGCTGTCTGGTCTCTTTGCAGCCTAAAAAAATAAATATGCAGCCTCAAATGTCATTATATCCAACAGAATTTTGCCAGGTAGATCGCTGCTAGCCTGATTTAAACTTCTCTTTTGAAAGAGTGCAATTATCTTCCACACCGGGCTGAGTCAGGAAGTACACTGAGCGAACTGATAATCTCATAGCTGAGTGAAACGGCGTTAAGAGTGGACCTGCAGACGGAGCAGTCAGTTGCTCAACAGAGAGATCAAAACAGTCTTAAGCCTCCCTACAAGAGGTTGCAGCATGAGGGATTAAAGTCTCAAACGTTTTAGTCTTTTAGCCATCAGCTCCAGCATAAGTACCACAAACACCTAAATATAGAGCAATTCAAACACGGGCAAACCATAAAATATAAGAGAACTATTTTTGTTCAGAACAATGATACCGTTGGGGAACAACAATAAACAAGGGAACATTGTAAATATGCATCCAGTATCCAAAACTACATGACATATTTGCCAACCTGTTATAGATTATCATGAAATTAATGGCGACACTCAAAATAAACCAGGGCTTGTCAATTAAACACATTTTTGGCTACCTTTGTGGCAAACTAGGGAGAATTACTGCATAGCAATGAGGTGATCCTGAAGTAGTGTGCAGGGCTTCACTCTTGTTAAAATTTACAAAGAACTGGTAAGTAATGGTGAAGCGGTACTTGAGTAATGAGAACTAATCAGCAGCACATGTTGGGGTAACATATAATACATGATTAGCAGTTTTCCATCCATCCATCCATTTGCGTCCGCTTATCCTGTTCAGGGTCGCGGGGGGCGCTGGAGCCTATCCCAGCTGTCATAGGGCGAGAGGCGGGGTACACCCTGGACAGGTCGCCAGTCTGTCGCAGGGCCAACACACAGAGACAGACAACCATTCGCACTCACATTCACTCGCACATTCACACCTATGGGCAATTTGGATTAACCAATTAACCTATCCCCACTAAGTGCATGTCTTTGGACAGTGGGAGGAAGCCGGAGTACCCGGAGAGAACCCACGCAAACACGGGGAGAACATGCAAACTCCTCACAGAAAGACCCCGGCCTGATGGTGGAATTGAACTCAGGACCTTCTTGCTGTGCGGCAACAGTGCTAACCACCGTGCCACCGTGCTGCCCGATTAGCAGTTTTAATGCCACAAATTATGATTACTTGGGTTTAGCAGCTTGTCATTATCTAGTTAGTACAAGGTGCCTGGATCAGCAGTTGTAAGGGACGTGATGCTCAACATGTTAGCTTACAGTTAGGTCCTAACTCATTCTTAAGCATCTTTGTTATTATTTGCTTTTTTGTTTCATCAGCAGGCTGTAAACCCATTTTCAACAGCAAACTAGCATGCATGTACATTAAGACAAGACAAATCTAGGTGTAATACTTTTTATTCAGATCTTACAGAATTACATCTTTCACTTTCAGTGAGCCAATGTAACCCTTAGGGTAGAAAACACAATGTGTTTTTATGAAACAAGAAGTCAAACGGTGCATAACTGTGTGGTACAGTCACTATTTCAACACTATATATAAACATATTAAAACCATACAGCAGAAACTTTCTTTTGATAGTTTGATATTCTGTTTTGAATGGGGGGTCCTTTTTTTTTTTTTTAAACAGAAATTTCGTCTATTTTCCACATATGTTACATTTCTAAAGTACACAGAAGAGACATTAAAAAAGGCTTTACACTGAAATGTACAACTGTACATGGTCTTAATCTACCGAACTGTGTTTTTCTTCCTGAGGTCAAAGTCATCTGAAAATTAATCAAGAACGGACAAAAAAATATTAAAAAAAAAAAAAAGAAGTTGCTACCATGTACAGTATTTACAAATTCACAGTTGTATCAAAAAGAAGAAAAAAAATAGGTAAGACATCTGAGGTTTGAAGTATTTTTTATGAAAAATTCAGCAAAAGCTGCCACCACTTCAGTCAAACTATGAGTCACAAATGTTGTTATCCATTTGTACAGTGCTTTAATATTTAAACTAACGGAGGTTTAAAATGTTGTTTCAACAAACTGATACTCTAGTAAATGTTTGCAAATGTGAAACTGCATTCATCAGTATGGTGAATAAAGAATTAAAACTAAAAGCAAAAACAACAATAACTTTTCAGTTATAAATTATTATTTACAGAAATAAAAATTTGAAAAGCCAACAAATTCCACTTCTTAATCCAACTACGTAGGTGGCTTTTACCCCTCATCCACTTCTGTGAAAATGTTGGTTAAGAAGTACTGAGACACACTGGTGGGCTCCTCTTCAAGAGCACAGCTGTCCACACAGTCATCCTGCTAAGAAGGAACAAAACAGAGCACATCTCCATGTGAGCGTGTATGAATTACACTGAATGGAAAAACAGCTTCAATCCACTTGTACCTTTCTTACCTCTGTGCACTGTGAAGTGCTAGGATCTGGGCTCCTGGGACTTTGATCACAGGTCTCTCTGATGTTCACTGCTGTTTGTGTTAGCAGTGTAATCGATGCTGGACGGGTTTCTTTTAGTGTCTGTGTCAAACTTTGTGTGGAAGGGACATCATGTGATGTGGAGGCTATAGGCTCTAGCAAAGATTGTTGTCCTTCAGTCAGTGGCGTTTTAAGCTTAGATCGCTTGGAAACTGGTTTGCTAGGTGGAAGATTTTGTGGAGGGCTGGTTTTCTTTGTTACAGAAAGCGAGGAAAGAGAGCCTTTGGGTTTTCTGTTAGATATTAGAAAAAATTAAACGTTTCTCAATAATTGATAGAAGCCAATGTGAATTTTTTTCAAAATGAAACCGTTCTTCACCCACCTCACACGCCTCTGTGAAGTTTGAGCTTCTAAGCTGCTGGTAGTGCCTTTTCCATCTGTCACAATCTCCTCATCACGGCTGCATCTTCCCCTTTGTGCTTCCGTGACAGCATCACTGGCTTTTGGCTCCTGGGTGGTGTTTGTTTGGGTAGGCGCTGACTCCGCTGCTTTCATTGACTTGGTCTTGCTGGTTTGTTTTCTCCTCGCTGCATTAGGTTTAACTTGCAGTTTGGCTGGTTGAAAGATTCATACAGGGTGAAAAAGCAGCAACATTTAATGTTCACATTTAAAAAATGTTCACACATTTTTTAAAGTCCATTTGGTGAGTATGTATTTATCCTCTGCATACCTCTTCTTCCAATACTTGTTTGTCTCTGCTTGTTAAGTGCTGCTTCAGGCTCATTATTGTCCACGGCATCTGGAAACTTTGGTGGATTGTCTGTAGTATGTTCTGCTCAATTAAAGCACAAAATTAAAGTTACACAGCATGAATCAGCATGACAATCAGTAGCTTGAAAGTGACAGAATAATGCAGTCACTCTACCCTGTGGATCCACTGTTTTCTGAATGTTATGATCCTGATGGATGGAAAAACACAGCATGTGAAAAAGATTAAAAAAAAATAAAAAAAATCACATTCTGACCGCCAACAGTTCTTCTTTACAGCTTTACTTACAATCAGTGTAGATGGGTCCAGCACAGTCTCTTCCACACTGATGAGGCCTGTCACACTCTTTATCTCTTTGAACATGGGCATGGGGACATTAGACAGAGACCCCTCTCCTGCCGCTGCCACACTCTCTCCAGAAACACCACTAAAGGATGAAGAAAGGCACAGAATTAGACACCAAACTAAACAGACTACATGCTTGCTCACACAGCTAGTTGATTAAAAGCAGACACAAACCTTGGTTGAGGTATTGATGACTCTGCTACAGAAAGACAAGAGGGGTTCTCAGTTGCACTGTTCACCACCTCCCCTGATGAGGACAGCGGGATCTCAGTGAGAGAGAGGATGAAAAATGGTTCGTCGGGATCTGAAGGCACCTTCTCTGGCAGCACTGAAATTTAAAAAAAGAAAAAAAAAACAATAAATAAATCAAGAAGAACATTATATAAAGTTTACACAAAACTTAAGTGATATGACTGGAACATAATATATGATTGACTTACTCTCTTGAAATATTGGAAAACTTTGGATGTCGTTTGTACTTAATGTTGATGTATTCTAGGATTAGGAGAATTAGAGAAACATTTAAGGAAACTCAAGAGAGACTTTTTCACTCTAAAACTACTGACTACCAGAGAATACCTCTAACTACCCCTGTTAGGATTGGATATATAATATTAACTTGTATTAATTAGCAAGTCTTGACACAACATTAACAGATTTGATTGCAAAGCTTGTAAAAGGATTAAAGACCAGACAAAACAGTCATTATTCAGCTACCGAGAGGAAGGGCAGTAATGATTGCCTACCTCTGGTGGGAAAAGTAATTTCGAATTCTGTCCCAAATGTGGCAGATGGTCAGCCCCGCACTCTCCTACCTCAGTCCCTTCACTACACACACAACTGGCTCTTAGTTGCTTAGCTGATTGCCAAATGTGCACCTCCTGAGAGTGCAGATGCAATCAAATGTGAATGACCTGACAAAATGCCTGCATCTTTATGAATGTGTCCCTGGATTGCATCACATATTGCATTGTAGCTGAGAACAACTTCAGTGCAAAGCACAGCAAAATGAGGACAGCAGCTTAACCCCACTTAGGAAGGAAGGAACTTGCTTGAGAGTTAACTCTAAAACACCAGACGAGACACTTGTACTGTGCTTTGAACTCTGTGTCATGGAGATTGTAAGGCTCCCTGATATTTTCCTTTCCCCTTGAGAGATGAAGGTCACACACTCTGTCTGCCACAGAAAGTGAGCTGTGTAGTGTAAGTGTTGCTCTGCTGCCTCCAGCACCTGTAGACAGTCACCTGTGTGACTGTAGTCTAATAAGGGCTCTGGGCAGTTTAGTCAAGCTACAGTAAGCTTGACTAAACTAATGAAAATAATGAAATCAGGACTGATGAAAATCACAGCATACACACACAACACACAAAGACACACAGACACACACACACACACACACACAACA